ACTCTGACTAGCATCCAATAGGTCATCAGGAAGAAAATTTTCCCCCAATAATAAGGAGGATCCAAAATTTATGCCAATTTCAACCAATCATTTGTTAATTGCTGTATCTCTTTGTAAGAAACATGTCTAAAATTGTCTTCTTTGGGTGTGGGGGGGGGTCTCCTCTGCCTTAAGGGGAGACCCCAGCTGACTCAATGGGCTTACTTTCAATAAAACTTTAAAATCTCAGCTGGTACTTCCGTGTTTGATCTTCTGCCGGACTGAATCCTAACTGGGGAGAGTCAGAAACTCTCAAATTTTGCCAACAATGTTACTAGATTTCTTATTCTCTCTGCTATGTATCCTAGCTCTTCTCTCATCTTCCTCTGCCTTTTCTGAAAGCTAATTCATTTGGCCGTTCTCTGCATGTGGCTCTTTGTAAGATTTGTCAGTAAGATTTTTATTGGTAAATTGGTAAACCGAAACTTTACTGAATGAAGAATTACTGCAATTGTTTAATAACTTGCATGGGCTCGATTTCCACAATCTATTGGCAGTGTAATGTTTAGCTGGGGAGGCAGGTTTATTTGGTAACCTCTTAGTCTTACAGCTTTAAAAACCAAGGACTTTATTCTTCAGGGTAAATCTCGCCTGGAATATTTATTTATTTATTAATTAAATCAATTTATATATTATGATCATTCTATCGTATTTTATTTTACCAATGGTTCAAAATTAAAAAACAAAACAGGACAGGCATTGCCATCTACTCAAATGACTTACATCTTCAAGAAACTGGCAACCAGAACATGAATTAAAATATAGCACCACCTTTCGTACTTTAAGTTGTCCGTTTCTGTCTTACTTGAACTGGGGATTGAAACAGATGGGAAGAGAAAACCCATTTTTTCCGTTATGTGGACAAAGCTGAGCTATTTAGGAGTTTCAGTTTTGGTTTAAGCAACTTATGTCGTAGGGGCTTGATTATAAATAGTTCTTGCAGTAAGCTGTCAGCAAGTAAAAATGGGAAGTAAACCTGTTGCTCCATCAGATGTTTTGGTGATACAGTGCCATTCTCCACTAATACTTCATTTAGCTATCAAGTCACTGAAAGACACATCAAACAAATTCTTCTAGCCTTGGAGAACCTATAAAATATTCCTGATACAGTCCAGCCCAAATTAGTTGAAATCAATTTCAAGAATTAGGCAGCAGTTCCAAAATCTCTCCCAGTAAAATCAAAGCAAATGCTCAACTCACACCTTAAAAAGAGTTAACTCTCCTTTGACTCAGGGAGGCTTCCTGGAGATAACCTTTTATCGCTCTTGGCAACAGAAACAGATTATCCCTGGCTTCTGGCAATAACCAGACTTTTTTTTCTGCTTTGCAGCCTAGCCTAAAACCTTAGGGTTTTCTGGTCATCTCCCATCTAAGCACCAACCATACCCAACCCAGCTTAGCTTCCAAACTCTTCAATTTACTTCATTTGGGCCGAACTGTCCTCTTTCATTCATCAACCTGCTACGCTTCTTTAGGCCCTACAACTATGGTATTCTCAAACTTCTCAGCATAGTAATGAAAACCTTTGAAGGTGACAATGCCCATCCTTAAAGTGTGCTTTGCAGCGTGTTATGGCTTAAGTGCAATTTGAACCCAGCCGTTCCTCACCCATTTGTAGTTAAGGAAGCCAAAGCCTAAAGTGATATTCCTGAACTGGGGGGCCCTGCTCATGGTTACTCCCGATTGGACTGTTGTATTGGAACGTGCTCTACGTGAGTCTGCTCCTGAAGCCATCCAGAAGTTTCAATTGGCCCAGAATGCAGCAGTGCAGGTAATTAAGGGTGCATCTTGTTATGCCCCCTAACACTGCTCCTCCATGAGCTGCACTGGCTCCCAATAGATTTCCAGGTGCAATTCAGGGTGCTGATGGTTACCTTTAAAGCCCTACATGGCACAGGATCAGGTGACTTGCGGGACCACCTTCTCCCAAGAAGATCTGCTCTCCCCACACGCTCCCACAGGGCATGCTCCAGGTTCCTTAAGTCTCGTCATCTTATGGCACCTAGGGAATGTGCCTTTTCTGTGGCTGCCTCTGCTCTCTCAAACAATCTCCCCCACCCCGATACACAGGAGGCCCCAACTGTCCTTGCTTTTAGGAAAGCCCTTAAGACCTGGCTCATCCCCTAGGCATTAGGGGTCGGTTGAGCGTGAGTCCCCCCTGAGGTTACTTTGTTGTATGCGTGGTTCCGTTTTACATTTTAGTTCTTGTATCTACCTACTGTTTGTTGTTAGTTTATTGTTGTTGTTGTTGTGTGTTTATGTTATGCACTGCCTAGAGTCACACTATCTGAGTTGGGCGGCCTTCTAAATCAGGGAGGGAGGGAGGGAGGAAAATGCAGACTGACAGCTGAATGTCAGAGTTTCAACATCCAGTTTAATAAAACCTCATTAACTGAAATGCAAAGGCAGGCAGCATGAGGACTACAATATGAGTAACGCTTGTTGGCTAGTGGTCAACCTCTAACTGAGGTATAGCTGGCCTATCTTTATTTGAGCCCAAATTTTATTTACACACACAGCAAGTTTACCTACATTTTCCACTTCTGAGGAACTTTATCATTCTAGCCATACACTTCCGAGAAACTGACATTTAAAAACAGCGTGTTAGGCAAGAACCTCAAAATTCTGTGCCAAAACAGTAGGAAAAGAGGTAAATGCCTTCTGCTCAGAAACCAGGTGTCATCCAAATGAACTTCTGGTCCCAGATAGGAACCTTGTTCACATGCTTGATATTTCAGCGGTGCTTTGGGAAACAGGGACTGTTGGTGACTATTCTCTTCATAAAAAACATTTTTCCATCCAAGACCAAAAGGTCTGTCTGACTGTCTAATCGGGGCTGGTACAGTGGCCACCATAAAGAGAAAAACTGAATGGAACCAAGGATTTACGTTTCTTTTAAACAGAATGGATTTTCCTAAAGAAATCAGGGTGCTGCAATCCCAGTTCTATGTAGTTCTGCTTTGGAGAGGGGATTCAGGCAATACACCAAAGGATCGGCAGTTGTAATGTCGTCCACCTGCAAATGAGAGGTCTAGCTTTAGGTCCCAGGTCCACCTTCCAGGGCTGCATATAAAGCGACCACCCAAAATGAGATGGGCTCTTCTACTCCCGTCGTGCCTTCTTGCTCTTCTTCTTTTCTGATTTCGCTGCTGCGTCATGAGCTTTTCGTTTCTCTGCCAATTTGTTTGCCTGAAAAAGGGGGGAAAAAAGCCAAGTCAGCACTACAGCAATTCAAACTTTTTTTAAGTACTCAAAGCCTGCACCCAAGTTTTCCCAATCCTTGGTTTCAATTTCAAACCCAAGGTCTCAAGATTCAGAGGATGTTCCCCAAAAGCAGAAAAGCCAGGCCATAAGAGTACTGCACAACGTGACTAGTTTCCAAGCCATTTTTATTCAGCCATGGTATGTCGAATAATCCAAGGTGTCTGGGTTTGCACAACACATTACACCCCAAATAAACCAGTTATATGAATGGCTTTGTGTATTACATGAACTAGGCCTACAGGTCACAGAATGTGGCTTGCAGGGACTTTGAAGCCACCAAACAAATGCCTTCACTCTCCAACCCCACCTAAACAGGTTTTTTTGCACGGAGTTCCTTCACTTGACTCAAGCTGAAAAACCAGCTGTAGCCTCTCCAGGACAAAAATGGTCCAGAAATCAAATCAAATCAAATCAAATCAAATCAAATCAAATCAAATCAAATCAAATCATTATTACAGTAAAAAACCAGCATAAGGAAGGTGGGGTACGGTCAATTAGAAAGCATAGAAAATACAAGAGAGTCTAAAAAAAATAGTATAAAAAGCTAACAGATATAAAACAAAGTATAT